GGTGGGGGGTGGGGGGGGGGGGGGGGGGGGGGGGCAGTCGGAGAAGAGTGGTCCAGTCGGGCAAAGAAAATGAAAATGGAAAACTGAAAACGATGCTTAATCGTTTTCAGTTTTGCTAACTTTTTGGGAATAAGTAAAAAACGTTTTCAGTTTTTATTTTTCAAGAAATGCATGTCAAACGCATTTCTGAGTGCGTTTTTATTTTTTAATTCTTGAAAAACGTGAAAAACGTTTTTGAAAATGATTCCAGGCACGATGATTTGGCCGTTTTTTCATGCAATCCTAGTCCAAGATATCAATCTCTCCTATTAAACCTTTTTTCGCCTCTAGAGTCTAGTGTCCCAACTTTGTCCATGGTGGGTTTAACAGCTGGACAAAATGGTAAATGGAAGAATTGACCCATTTGTTAAGTTTTTTACATTGAGGATGAAAAATATCAATCTTTAAAATTTGAGGACCAGATGTGAAAAACCCTAAAACAAAATGGAACTCCTCCGCGACTGGGCGATGCACTATGATAATAAAATAAATAAAATTAAAATTAAAAAGTCATTTTTCTAATTTTATTTTTTTACTCGTTATTTTAGCCAAATTCTCAGGAAGAGAGAGACTCATTTTCATTGAGCTTCTCTACAGACGAATCTGCTTTCAGCTTCTTCAGAAAAACGTTTGGAAATCTCGGAACTTTCAACAATGGTAATTTCGATTTCCACTCTATACTCAATCATTTCATTTTTCTGCAAAAATCAATGTGTTTTTGTTTTTCTCCATCTTATATTACATGGACGATCGGTGAAAATTGTTTCGTGTTGTTGTTTTTGCCCTTAAAGGAACGAGAAGGCGATCTAGGGTTTGGAGGAGGAAGAGATCGGTTTCGAAGGGACTATCATCATCATCGTGATCAGCACCATTCAAGATTCGAGGAGAAGAGCAGTAATTTCCAGTCTAGGTCTGGGCGATTCGGAGGCAGAACCAGTGGAATTAGCAACAAAACCAGCAATGCGGCGCCATCGAGGCACCTCTGGGTCGGGAATCTGTCCCACAGTCTAATGGAGAGCGATCTGACTTCGCATTTCCTGCGCTTTGGAGAGCTCGAAAGCGTGGCGTTTCAGCCCGGTCGGAGCTATGCGTTTCTCAACTTCGCGAGGGAAGAAGACGCCATCGACGCCATTGAAGCCCTTCAAGGTTTTCCTCTTGCCGGCAACCCGCTTAGGATTGAGTTTGCCAAGGCGGTTAGTCTGATCTTCGCCTGCTGTTATTTATCTCTCGTTTCGATTTCAATGTCTCTCTTTGTTGTACTGATATATTTATATGTTTGCCTATTTATAAAGTCGTCTTCTTTTTGCGTTAATCAAAGGCCACCATTGATTATCAACAGATCAGGAAAAAGAATCAGATGCCACCATAGCTATGTTGTTACTCTTACTAAGCAAGATTTCCATTAAAAAGACGCAACATTTAAAAAATTGGAGAATTTTATGCCAAAGTAGGGGGGGTAAAAAAAGAAAAACTCTATCGATCAGATAAAGTTCTGAACTATCAAATTACGTAAGAATCATATCAGATTAGATTGAAAAGTAAATAACAAATTAATGAACTTGATGAACATCTGATAATTGAAGGTTAATTTTCAATAAAAGAATTTTCCATAAAAGTCAAATTAGTGCAATTCTTCATGAATTGAACATTTTGGGACTATGCAAGCAAGCATTATCAGGATCCTTTATCAAAGTTTGGAACCCATCAATGGAAAAAACGTCAGGACTATCTTTCGAACCCATTAATTTGGTTTGTCTTGGCATGAGCAGTAGCAGTTTCACAATTAATTTTTTGTTTCTTACTTAAAAGAGCAATAGAATCTTGAACATCGCTTCCAAACGAATGATAACATTTTGTTAACTGTAGTGGAAGTTTGCTCCATAATTTCCTACAACCATGATAAGAAGCATGAAAGTGTTTCCTTCTTTCATTATTGTCTGATGAATACACAGCAGAACCACATACTCCATTGTTTGCATTGTCGTTTCCAGCAATGTTATTATAAATCACTTCGACAGGTGAATAATTTGATGGAAAATTTGGGTTAGTTTTCAGGACTATGGATTAATCAAGTCATTTTGGCACATTTGTCATTGAAAGAGCAACGGCAATTGTGGCTGATTTAATTAATGATATTCTTTGTCTTTGAAGTTTCTCATCAATTGATTCATTAAAATTACATGAATGTTCAAAATGTGATTATTGATCGACCAGAGCAGTCTCACAATTGCAACTAACATATACAGATGATGTGTGCTACTTGCATGTGCATATGTCTATAAGAACTATAAAATTCCTCCCCTGAATGACATTTACTTATCTGTGTTTCTTTCATTGGGATTTTGGTGGGGTGTGTGTATGTGTTGGGGGTGTTGGATAAAGTTGGGTCATTAACTTTTTATAAGTAACTTACACTTCAACTTGGCTAGTCTCGTGGATTGGATTAATGAATGGTTATGATATCTCTTATTCCCATTTGCAACCCAAAGCATTATCTTGAAAATATCTGATAAGTTGGTATTCTAAAAGTTGTCATGAAATTATTGCTGAAGAGTCAATAACCAGGGCAATTTATAAGAGCTGCCCGTTCATTCCTTTGGTTGGGATGAAAGTGGGAAAAAGGTCAGTGATGAAGCAAGCAAACGGAAAAAGGGGGGAACGGGCAAAAGTAAGCGTGAAAAATTGTTCAAGATCATGTAGTTAAACTACCTAATTAGGGGGGGAATCTGGAAAATCTTTTTAATAGTTGGAAAGAAAGACTATGGGGTCTAAGTGGGAAAGTTTTATACCATAAGAGAGAAGCATTCATCTTTTGGTAGATAGAATCCACCCGTAGCTTCAATATCTTGAAGTATAACTAAAGAGCACACCAAGGTAACAGAAGGCTCTAATACACTGTTGATCCAACTCAGTTATTGAAAATTCTACTATCAGATAAAACATTCATACAAATGCAGAACATGTGGACCCACATTGCAGAACAAACAACTGAACAAAATCATTTCATGAGCATATATAGAAGCAGGATACTTAACATGATATTTACCAATGCTCTCTGTATTTACATTTGATGCTTAAAATACTTTTCATAAAAGCAGAGACAATAAGGTGCCCATTTAAAAACACAATCAGTAGCTAGGGACCGAAGAATATGGACTTTGAAATTTATTGTGCTAGAAGTTGGTGCATGTTCCTAATATCTTAGGGATACAGCATGTCCTGCAAATGGTCCACTACAGAACCCATTCACTAATCCAAATTCAATTTCAGTTTATTATTTTAATGCTTGTTTCACAACTCAAGTTGAGAACTTGAGTTGTGTAAGAGAAAAACACTGTAGTAAAAATATTGAATTTAAATTTTTATGAGAGAAAACACTGTAGCAATAGAACTTGAGTTGTGACTAGAGTTGTGAAAAGAACAAGGTCTTAATGTTTGTTTTTCTTTTTTGGATATTCATGCAATAGCTTCAAATCAATCCAAACATCCTCTTGGCTGTCCTAGCTGAAAACAAAAGGGAAGGAACTCTTGCAAAAAAATTGGTGTATTCCACATCTTATTTATCCCTTTTGTGCAGTTGCTTAGGCACTAAATTGCAATTATAATGGTTAATCTATGTCTAGTAGCGTACAATTAGCATGATATGCAATACCAATAGCTGTTATGCAGTACCCGGTCCCCAATTAATATCTCTAAATGGCAGGATCAAATGTACTGTTACCAACTATGGACTTTAATATAAGGCACAATATGCAAACTTTTAGCCAGCAGTGGTGACCGAAAAACTTTATGGAAAGTGCATCACATTTGGACACAGCATATTTTGTGGCTGATTGTTGATAGTTGCTTGTCACGTGTTTGATATTTAAGCATTGCCTTTCTCAAAATGAAGAGAAATTAACCATGCAATCTAAATTTCCAAATCACTGGTACATTAAATTGGTGTTTTATGCTTTAGATTGACTCTCCCTGTTAAGTATATTTACTCCATAAGTTCAACCCAAAATGCAATTCCATTGATAACTCATAAGATAGATGACGTAAGATTTTTCCTCAATGGATTATGTAAGTTGAGCATCAAGTGCATAACATGCAGCTATTTTGTTGGAACTACTGAGCACCATATTTTCAATCCCCAAAGAACCATTATGCAGGAAGAAATTGCTTAGCAGAGTTTACAATCTTAATCATGAGACAAAATCTTCCCTGAAGCTTCTGTGTGGCTATCACTAAAATATCATCACTAACTCCTGGTTGTAAGTGTTAGAGAATTGTTCGTCCTAAATGAGTTTACAGATGCTTTCCAGTCATTGGATGTCTATTCTTTGCTTCTCATTCCGTTAATTGGATTGCACATTGTAGTCCTTTGAATTCATGTTGATACAAGATGGGAAACATGAAGCACTTATTCATGTAATGGAACTTAAGCAGCAGAATATTATATTGTTGTTTTTTTAGCCCAAAAAAAAAAAGAATATTTGTTGTTTTGTTTCTTTTTTAGTCACCAGCCATTTTAAGCATGTGTATAGTTAATTGATGGATTACCATTTTTGTCTGCAAGTATAGGTGTATTGCAATAACATTGTGAAAGCGACTAAAACAGCACCTAATCAGAATATGCAGTCAGGTGTTGTTTTATTAGTCCTAATTATTTGTTTTGCAAGTCTGGTATCTTTCGTAAAAAACATTCAGTAACTAGACTCAGTTCTGCATTTGCTTGTGGCTGACTATTGAGCGGGTACAATAAAATATTACTCCTCAGATCAACTTTTAGATATATATTGTCTGAAAACAATGTTAAACACTACAAGCTGTTGCAAATTCTTTCGTCAAGTTCTGCTATTAGATTCTTGCCCAAGGTATGTTGGGTGTACCCTTCAAATATTTGTGCTACCTTAAAATGCATTATTGGCCTGCTTTTTGGGGTTTATCTTTGAAGACACTTTGGTTCTCCCATAATTTTTGAGTATGCCCCTTTGTAGGCGAATGGTGGAAGATTACCTTGGGTTTCCGGAGACTGCTTGTGCAGTCTTTAATTCTTGATGAAGTGACTAGTACATTTCAAGTGATCAGCATTTTAAGAATGTGCCTAATGTTATCTTATTGTACCATAGATGTCCATTTTTCATTATATATGCATTTTTTTTTTTTTTTTTTTTTTTTATGGATCATTATATATGCCTTTGCAGCAAAGAACAATGTAAAGTTTTGGTCCGTATTCCCATGGGAATTAAAAATTCTTGTGTTAAAAGAACGTAGCTTACTTTCAATATTGTCCCTTGTTCTCTTTTATCGATTTCTAAATGGGAGTCTTTCCGACAACGTACATGGCAAACATGATTGATTATCTCCTTTTCAGGAACTGCTGTCATTAGCAGCTTAGATTGCAACTGTGTCAGCTTAGAGAGTTACCTTGTAACATTTGCTATTCTCTTGTGTTTGTTATGTTGTTTGGATGCATATCCAAGTCTGTATGATTAGTGTGGAACTTTTCTTGGTTTACATATTCATCCTTGGAATTGGTGGATGGTTGGGTGCTGGATCCCGATCCTCCTTGAAAAGATAAATGATTGTCACAGCAATAGGTCTTCAAGATTTGCAATTTTTGTTACTAAATGTTGACTGAGAAAAAAAGCTTGACCTCTAGTTACATGGAAGAGTCAATATTAGCATGTTGGAACAGAGGTTGAATGTGCGTGTGTGTGTGTGGTTTCTTATTATTATTATTTCTTTTTTTGGGGAAAAAATAGATTTTCCCTTGAAATGAGAATAGTAGCTAATTTCTAGAGGTGCATATATTCTATTGAGTTTAGAATTATCATGTAGCTAGGTGAATTGTTTTGACATTGCTATATATAGGATTTATCATGGTTCAACACTAGTCTCTTGTGCAGTTGAGAGGAATTAGGCGTCATTGTCAGTATAGAAGAATGGGGATGCTTAAGTAGATGCTTGCCGTATGAAGAAGATACACAGAAAACTATTGATTTTTTTTTTTTTGTTACGCATTATGAAGGCTTGATTTGAAATAGATTTCTTTATCTTGGTTTCTTATATTTTTTGTATGCACATTTGAATTCGTTCCTAAGAGACTAAGATGCTAATGACAAATAGGTTGAAGTTAATGACTTAAACTGGTTACTGCATAGTAGAATAATTTCTTCGTATCTCTTTATTGAGAGTTGATAGTTACATAATACCTAACATCTTTTTGACTGGGGTCTAGAAAAATCATATAAGAAGAAGCTTACTAACAATTTACTTGTTTTTGTTTGAATTTTTGGTAAAGTTCAAATTCAAAACATATCAAGTGCTTGAGATACAGATTCCTTTTGCAGTTAGTTTGATGAGATTTGTAATGACAGGACAAGTCATTGGCACCATCATATGATGATGATCATTCTCAGCGTCGAGAAGAACGCTCAGGATTAAGAGAATCTTCTTTTTCACAGGATTTAAGAGCCCGTCATTCTAGTGCTGACCAATTTTATGCTGAGAATTCTAGTATGACTGATAAGAACGTGGAACCTAGTCCAGTTTTATGGATAGGGTTTCCAGCTTCATTGAATGTGGATGAGATGGTTTTAAGGAGAGCGTTCTCACCATTTGGTGAAATTGAGAAAATTACTGCGTTCCCAGGTCGTAGTTATGCCTTTGTTCGATTCAAGAGTGTAAAATCAGCTCGCAATGCTAAAGATACTCTTCATGGGAAATTATTTGGAAATCCGCGTGTACATATTTGTTTTGCAAAGAACGAAAATGGCTCATTAAATAGCGGAAGGAACTCAATCAATGTCCCTCCATCCCCACATTTTGTGTCACATGCCCGCCAGGGATCTTTTGAAAGCTTTGGGCAGGATAGGAAGTTTGGGAACTTAACCGGAGATCCGAGAACCAGATCTCCTCAACTTTTCTCCAATCTGGATTCTGGTGACTTTGATCGCTATAGTTTAGGTAGGAATGGTACTTTATGGACAGATGGGAGTGATAGTTCTGAACATAGGAGGTTTGTGGAGGTGGGTTCTGAACTAGGACTCTCACAAGATATGTATGAATATCAGAGAAGCCCTACAAGAGGGAAACGTGGCCCTTTACATGATTTCTCTCAGAGATTTTCTCAGACAAGTACATTTTATGATGAACCATGGGACGCCCCAGAAGATGCACATTTTTCTCATGGAGCCAAGAAATTGAAGACGGACTCTTTTCCTCCAGACAAAGAGCTTCCGGAGTATCCTTTCTCTGCCCGTGAAAATGAAAAATATGTTTTTCCAAGGATGCCTTCTGATATTTCCCATGCTGACTTCTCCGAGAGAAAATTTGATGTCATACCTTTTGGCAATAAACATACCTCTGATCGATCAATGAATGTAGCGCCATCTCAGAGAGACAGGAGTAATCACTGGAAAGAATCAAATGAGAATCTCCATCTAGGGTCTGGTTCTCTGATCCTGAATTCCATTGAGAAAAAACGATTGACTCCTGAATCAGGTAATCCTTCTTTGAGCGAGTGGAAGTGGGAAGGGACTATTGCAAAGGGGGGAACTCCCGTCTGTCGAGCTCGTTGCTTTCCTGTTGGAAAAGTCCTTGATCTCATGCTGTAAGTAGTTTAAGTCCCTTTTTGGATATTTCTTATTTACTTTCTAGAATTGAACCCCATAGAGGATTTGACAAGAGCTCCATCTATTTTGGTACCGATTACATTTGTCTCCAAAATGCGAGTTTTAATCTTTTGCTTTACCTTAACGGATCATAAGCACTAAAATTTTCAATATATAATATAGACTGAATTCTTCATCTTTTTCTTTTTTTAATGCATCTCTGACCCTTTTTTTTTTTTTTTTTTTGTTGACTCGCGCATGTATTTATATGTCCTGTGGAAATGATTGAATGCCATTTTTTACAGGGTTTTTTTTTTTCTTTTTTTTAACTCATCACACATGAACAAAATGAATTTGCTTTAGATGTTTATGCAAATTTCAAAACACAATCATATATACTTCTAAAATTCTGTTCTATCAATCCAATGCTGCAGGCCTGAATTTTTAGATTGCACAGCAAGGACTAGTCTAGACATGCTTTCGAAGCATTATTATCAAGCGATGAATGCTTGGGTTGTCTTCTTTGTCCCTGGAACTGATGCTGATATTGCATTCTACAATGAGTTTATGAGATATTTGGAGGAAAAACAACGTGCTGCAGTTGCCAAGTTAGATGAATACACAACATTGTTTCTTGTGCCCCCATCAAACTTCTCGGAGAAAGTACTGAAAGTACCTGGGAGACTGAGCATCTCTGGTGTTGTCTTGAGGTTAGAGAATCCTGGTTCTAATATGGGTTCTTTTCACCAACAGCATGAAAGAGAAGATGCAAATTTGTTGTCCTTTCTGGGGGATACATCATATCCAAAGCCGTCAACGCCCTCAGTAGCTATTGATTCATCATCATATTTTCCTGAAGTGAGAAATATGAATCTTTCACGGAATGTACCTAAACCAGCTACAACAATTTCAAGTTCAGCCCATTTTGTTGGTGCTGATTCCGACAATTTCGAGGACAGCAGGACGGAGTATCCACCCCATGGAAACGCTAGGCTTGTACCAAACTGGTATTCTTCCCACTTGCAGAACTCAGTTTCTGACACTAGAACTCCATCTCAAGTCTCTGCCAGTTCGGTTGATTCTATGGTTCACCAGCAGCCTTTGGTCACAACAAGGACAACACAAGAAATAACTGCAGCTCTGCAACCAGAGCAACTTGTACAATTAGCATCATCTCTTCTTGGGCAGCGAACACAGCCAGGGAGCACCCCACCTGCATCCGCTGAAGATGATTTAAGGTCATGCCTGAATCATGCCTCACAACATAATCAGGCGAGTTTGGTGTTGTCAGCGCCTCAATCTGGTCAAGTTCGACAGTTGCAGCAGCTATTGCAGCAGACATCTAATGTGCCTGCAATGCCTCATCAGATTGGAGCTCAGGGAAGTCAACACCCACAAAGTACTGATGCACATGAAGCAGATTCAGATCCGCAGAAACGTCTACAAGCCACATTACAACTGGCCGCTGCTCTTCTGCAGCAAATCCAAGGAAAATGAAGTTGGCGAGCTTAAAGTTTTTGTGAGAGTCATGACTCTGATGAAGTTTGATGGTTATCATTGGATCGGTAGTAGTAAGAATATACCGTGCCATAGGATCTCAAAATTTAGCAATGTTTACACTATATTATAGCCCTTTCCGAGGCTAGCTTAAAGTGCTCATACTTTTTCTTTAGTTTCCTTTTTACTCGAGTACGAACTAGCTAGTGTTCGTGGCTGCCCTTCAGTAATAAGATCTTAAAGCTTAAGAGTTCATTTGCTGCTTAGTTCCCCAAACTTGCAATGTGATTTGGTCAACTGCTCAGATTGTCTCACATTATTTTCTTCCTCGTATGAGTTTGCTTCTTTTAATTAGTATGTCAGGTCAAATGAACAGAGGTATTTCATTATCTTAACTAGCATGGGTCTCTGGACTAGCTTGAAGGTCAATCCTGCTCAGTTCAATCCTCGTCTACATGTCACTTTGAAAAAGTTGAGAATAAAACCTCGGACCGCTCTAATTATGATGCAATGTCAATCAGGCCCTGAAAGAAACCACTCTTTTCTTCTTGAAACGTTATTTTATTGGTATGAAATAGAGAGTACATACATTTTGATTTTAATCGTTGCATGTCAATACAGAAAGAATGAACAAAATAATATGTAACCAAATAAAATACACAAAAGAATTGACCCCTGCTATACAAATATACGACAATACTGCAAAATGACCTAGACCATTGAAGACCACCGTGAAAAACTAAGCCACGCCCTTAGGGTTGGTTGAGTTGGCAGTTGGAGCGGTGTGCACTGCTGCTATACATAGAAATATTGAGAGCCTTCTATTGCATTTGCTGTGTCTCTAGAAAGGATGGACCGAGCTTCTACAACTGAACGTGGGAGCTCGAGATCTTTCTCTTGTAGGGCGTTGCCTTGCAGTCTCTGCATTTGAGAGGCAAAGGTATCATCCAACATCTGCAAAGAAAACAACACAACAAAAGATCGCGGTTATGTATCAGCTATGAAAATATAGCACTACCCAAAAAGCATAACCTAAGACTGCATTACGTTTCTTGGAATGCACTCCTATCATTGCATCTCATCTTGTCTGATCTTATGAAGTTACTCACCTCAAGTGCATAATAAGATCCGTTGTACCAAACTCGGTTTTCCTTCCTCCCCTCGAGAAATTTTAATACAATCTGGTTCAAATAGAAAAATTTAAATGTCTATAAAATTAAGAAGATGCCAAGTAACTAGGCTTTAACACATCCCTTTTTTTTCTTCGGAAAATATAATTTGCTTACTTGTCCCATCCTGTCCCAAAATCCACGGCAAGTTGCAATAAATATTTGACTTGTCAACACCCCATGCAAGTTGGATATAGAGTCAACAAGCTGTAAACTCAGCATATGCATTCTTTCTCGAACCTCAGCTTCTCCATCTTCTTCCTTTGTTTCCTCCAGAATCCTTTTAAGCCGCGTGCTTCGATTATCTTGCAACTGAAAAAATCATTCCTCAGTTTTCACATAGAACCAATGCACGGGAGAACAACTTGCTTAGATCCGACAGCAATAAGGCTCTATTGAAAATAAAGCTTACATTGCTTATGAGCTTCCCAACTATTGCCTGCAAATAATTTTTGTATCTTGTTCTCAGGAGTACAGTAACAGCATTCATCTGCTCCCCAAATAGAGACTTTTTATCCCCAATAACGGGAAGAACAGATGCCCAATTCTTTAGAATGTCCTCAACTCTACAATGGAGGACATCAAGAATTCTCTTCATGGTGTTCAGAAAGGTTCCCAGCTTTTGGCAAACAAAATACTTGTTAGATACTTGCGCTTGCCTATAGTAACAATTGCAATTCTGATATGTTCATGTATATATGCATGTATTTTTATGACCATCAGTAGCAAAACAACAAATTCGGGTATAACAATCATGTGGATCACTCACTTGACTTGGAACGGAGTAGATTGTCACTGATTGTCTCCTTGTCAGTTTCTGAACCTGCATATTAAGCCTCTTTGGAATGCTATCTTTCAATGGAGTCAAAATATCATTGTACTGCCTCTCTAGTGCTTTTATGATTGCTCTTTCCACATCAGCTACGGCCTAGCCAAAATGTATAAAGGACTCAAAATTTAAGCTCTTTTAAAACAAGTTCATAAATATGATTTGTAGCATGCATATATGTAACATAGATTCATATAAAAAAGGAGAGGGCGGAGAGGCGATGATGCTGTTAACCCTTTTTCTAGCTTAGTAAACTAGCAATGCATCATCGTCTCTTTAGCTGATTGAAGACGTAAACTGAACTTACATTTTCTAGAACCAAGGAATATTGAGGCCACCGGTTGATTACAACTTCGTATTGAACGAGGCATTCTCTCATTTTCTCATACATTTCCTCAGCAAATGGTGAGGTAGAATGATTTGTTGACACTCCAGACCAAGGCACCTACAGTGTTCATTCAAAACAAATTAATTACATTAAAAAATTACCATTGGCGGAGGCCTATGCGCTCACCTAGGATGGAGACACGCACGTGTGTATGAAATATCATGTCAATTAAAGATGATACTGCAAATGACTTTGCTATCACTGACTACTGCTTTCTAGAGAGAGAGGATATACCTTTTCTGCTTTGCATTGATCAAGGAAGCTAAGTTGCATATCCTGTACCCAGACCATTATGTAATTATGGAATTGATTTCTCGAGTCTATGCCACCCTGCACTGGACTGAAGCAAATAAAAGTCTCAGAAAGCATCTACTTTTATACTGTATACTAATTGTTACACAATCCTAGTCACCTATCAAGCAGCATGATTTTATTTACTGGAAGTCATAAAAAACTTAGTGTATATAATATGAGAAATTTTTATTTAAGGTTCTTCTACAAACCTGATATTCCATGATTCAAGGTTCCTCTCAAAATCAGCAGTTGCCACTAAAAGTTCATTTACATGTGGCTGTGGACTGGATGGAGGCCATGCAGAAAGAAAAACTCGAAGTCGGTTGGACAACTCGGTGCTGTAAACAGCAGCTGTGATGTTTGACAGGTCAATTGAACTGGAAAATTTATGATGCGTCAGAAGAAGATGGAATACTCAATCTAAGGATTAAACAGCACGAAAAAACAACTTCATTCAGAAGATATAAACATGTACTTAAAAGTAGTAATATGAATATCCACGGGTTATGCAAATGACAATGACCAACTAAAACTACAGCAGCTGTCTGAGTAAAGAGTGAAGGAAATGAGGAAGGTTAAAGTGCCTCTTTTATTTATTTATTTTTGGTTTCTCCTGGATGAGGGTAGCTAGTGTGTGAGTTTTGCAATTGGAATTTTGAAGTCCTTTTGTTCATTATTTTTGTTAGTTTACCAATCCAATCCAAAAGCTTAAGCTATTAAAAGGCAGACCAACAATAGTTTTATATTCTAACACTCCCCCTCACGTGTGGGTTGGACAATGGGCAATCGTGTGAGTAAATTAATTGAAATACCCAACATGTGAATATTTAATATAAAGAGTGTAATTACAGGGTCGTGAACTCAAGACCTCCTACTCTTATTTTACCAATGCATCCCAAAAGCTTAAGTTATTAGGAGGTGAGCCAACAATAGTTTTATATTCTAACAATTTTGAATTCCTGCCTATGTTATTCATCTAGATTCTAGATGCTCTTTAGTTGCAAAATTTGGTAGTACCTGGGAAGTATGTGCTGGTTATGTATCTTAATGTCGGCCTGAATTTCTTTGCTAATAGTCGTACAGAGATTCTTCATCTTTAGATATGCTGTTGAGATGGTAATTGAATCCATGATAAAACCTTCAGAATTGCTCGACACAAACTCATCAGTCTCCACCATGTGTGTTCGGCACCTCTTTTTTGCTGCTGCCTGAAAGAAATAACATTTTCTTTTAGTCTATTTTTCCTCACTTGAGGCAAAAAGTAATTCAAACACATGATTTAATTACTATAATGAGAAATTACGATCACTTCAACCATTTCCTTTACCTCCCTGTACTCATTATCCTGATTATTGCTTTACTAAAATAGTTGAGAAATGTGGTGTAAGATAGTACGTGAAAAATCAGCAGTAATAGAGTAGAAGGTCAAATACATATGTATATATACATAAAAGACTTCCATGATTCTGTATTTTTTCCTTCATTTTAGTTTTAAATTAATATGAAATTTTATACCACCACTCATGCACTTCTTCTTTAGAAGGAAAGTGGTTTTGTAGAAGCGAAGTACAAACACAATATACAATGGCCCATACATTCTACCATCCAAAAAGATGAAAAGGGGGTTAAGGACAAAATTTATCTCAAGTAAAGTTTGCATTTGTAGTCTATTTTGGAATATAGAATATTCATTAAAAAAAAAAAATTTGAGTACCTGCAAATAGCTTCGCAGCATACTCTGTGCATCAGGACTCAGTATATCATGCAGAAGTCCGTAGACTTGTACGGCGGGAGCTAAGGCTGGTGCTGCAGATTCTTCAATTGGCCCAAAAAAGTCTCTTATTCCTGTGGGAGAGTCTTCATCCAATGATTTGTAGTTCTCAAAAACATTTGCTAGTAGTGACTCAATTTGGGTTTCACAATCTAAAAGTATGCTTTTCTGCAAGAAAACGAGGTAGATGATAGAGAAAAAAAACAAAAAATAAAAAAGAAAAGTTGATGTAATCTTTCCTAAGAAGAAAAAATAAATTCAATATTGATGGAAAGCGAAGTCTGTCATTTTCTGCCTAAAAAAAAAAAAAAGTCTTCGTGTGATCAATCCCCAGGTAAGATTTGTGTATTGATCAGGTAAATCCACATCAAGATATACAGTGAAAGAAATTTTGCATCATGAGCTGTGTTTAATGATCAATGAATTTATGAAACGTTGGTCTTAGAAAGACTTACCTCCTGCCTTGTCAAAGATTTTTCACTTCGAGCCTCTATTATCGGTACAAGTAATTCATGCACAAGATCTAAGCAGTCTTTTGTTGGAGTCGCTACATGCATGACATGTGAGAGGTATCTAAAAAAAAGGGGGGGGAGAACGGACATGAATGCGTTGCAAAGGAAACAATGAACGGAAGCTCATATAATCAATTACTACAACAGTTTTACTCATTTAAGTACCTCAACTTTGTATATGAAACGGAAACTCCATAATAGTATGAAAATTCAGTCAACAACCACTTCCAAGTTCCATGTAACCACAAGTTCCGAGAATGGAAATTATGTGCCCGCATAGCAGCCTCCAGCAATAAATCATAGGCAAGAGTTTCTGCAACTGGTCCACTCTGTTATACATGAAACATAAAGATGCGAATCTAGAATTTTATGTGAAAAACCCCGAATTTGTACCCATACAGTGGCTTTTATTTCAAACCTTGAGAACTAATATGCTGATAAAAATACAACATGAACTTTTTCTTGGAAAAAAATAATAGAACATTAACTTCTAGGAGGTTAATTGATAACCCATAATAGGCTCATTCAATCGTAAGGATGTATAAACATGCTGGTACAACTACAGTTATTGCTCAACCTTGGTATCTAAAAAAATATCTTTACCAAATTCATATCCATGTTTTCTTTAATAAGAAACAAAGAACAAAGTTACAAAGATATCCAAATTGATATCCATATATCGTAACTACTAATAAGGTAGTAAGACTATTCGATATATATCTGAACAAAATGATGCTCCAGTCCATCACTTTCAATTAGTTTTAGATCAATTATAGTTCAAATTTGAACAAGGTTAAAAAGTTACAAAGTTTCATCGTTTCTCAATTATTTTTTAGTCAAGTAAGCTGTTCTAAAGAAGCAACATTGTTATAATATATATATATATATATAAAGCATATTAGCTGGGGTTAGAAAATCTTGCTTAGCTGAATGTAATGGAAGAAGGATTCCTAATTCTTACCTTTACGTGATTTGTCTCCTCAGTTGTAATAGTACTACCAATGTAGAGCTGTATCTTCCCAATACATTCTTGATCATCATGGTAAATGGGCCACCAGCGAACTCTATCACTCTGAATTAGAAAATTAATAAACTCAACTTGTGTCCACAAAAGCCACGTCCTCACTGGTGGATTTTTATTTTTCTTTAAAGCATGGTAGAAGTTGTAACTTACAGGATTATCATTCAAGGATGCAATTGGTATTGTAGTTCGACCCAGGACTGATCTTTTTGTGTCTTGGACTTCCACCAAAAGAGCATCTCCTTGACTCTCAGGAAAACTGAAATCGGTAAATGTATGAGATTTCCCTCAAATTTAACATAAATTATATCTCCTAAAGGTTCAAGTAAATTTTCTTATACGTTCTATTTTTTGGCTACAGAATATATCAACTAGTCAGATACAGTTCAAACAATTTTCATTATTATGGGAACATAAGAAACATGCTTTGGTTAATCCAAGAAACTTGTTGATAAAGAAAAGAAAATATATGTGATTTTCATAGATATGGGATTCTTGACTTGAAATCAGTAACCTGTCAGTTCCTATAGAAATTTTCTTCCCGTACCGTTCTTATGAACATGAAAGAGAGAAAGGCTTTCGAAAGGAGATCATTGCCTCAGGTGCAAAAAAAAATAGAAACTTACAACACATGGTGATCCCCACTTCCAGGGCGCAAGCAAACTGCAGAAGTTGGTTCCATTTGATTATTTTCTGTGGCGCTGCTGAGTTGGAATAAACATAATTGAGGCTCTGCAAGCATGAGACCATTAAACATCCTATTATACACTGAGACATATGGCGAGAAAGCTTAACTTGACATTTATGCGGATAAGAAAGAACCAACAATTAAAGCATATTTTTTTTCAGAAAATATAGTTCTCTAGTTCTTTCGGTCTGAAAAATACAAACATTTTAATGTTTTAAGTGACAACAACGGGAACAAACGCTTGCAGAATTAAAGGCACTTTAATTTGGAGGATTTAGAGCACAAACCTTGCGATGTAACCATAGAGGCTGTTTTCAAACTATTCATGCCAGTTTTTACCATGCTTCTAACATACTCTGCTCCTGCATGCATGTAGATAGCACCCCACTGCGAATATGTGCTCTTAAGTTTCCTTCTTGTTATTACACGAAGTTTTCTCACTAGCATAAACCAACAATAACATCACTTTGGATTAGAAAGATTTGAATTTCATCTAAATTTTCATTTTATTTATACATTCACAACTTAACCTTCATCATATTAAAAAAAAAAAAGATAATAATAATAATATAGGACAAAATTTTCTAATGTCTAGCAAATTTAATGAAAATGGCAAACTGATGCTATGGCCACCTTTCCAAAGACTTGCAAGATGTAAGTAACAAACTTTAGAAAAAGAAAAGGAAACTGAATTTAAATTCCACCGCCATAAATATATTAGAGTAAAAAGTAATCTCAGCCTATGCACGAAATATGTAAATGTAGCCATAACCTTGAGACCTTACCTTCTACTCGTATCTTTCCAACAACTTGCTTTGTTTTTAGAAGACATTTTTGTTCTGCACTCATGCTAGGCCTATCTTCTTTTGGCTGTACACCTCGGGGTTGCAACAGATAATTGTGGAGTCTATATACCAAAAAGAAAACACCCATTTAGAAGTTGATTAAAAACTATAAAACTTAATTAATTTAAACTCTAGAAGAATTTAAACGAAAAAATCTCAAGCAAAATATGGAAAATCTCAAGCATCAAGCAAAACATGACTAACCCAAATGCATTTCGTAGAACCAAGCATTCACCGTGAAGAAATTCAGGTGCCTCAGCGCAGCCTCTCTCCCATGCTTGGAGGCATAACCGTATACAAGCATCATATGCAATCAATGTTTGCCAGGCATATTGACCACTGAAATAATTAAAATAACATGCCAGTTGCAAGAAATGAGAAAGAGCATTTGAGTCATTTCCAAAACTCAAAAAGTCATTACTTGGTCACACAGGATATATCAAAACATAATGAAACTATACAATCAAAAGGAAATATGTGTGTGTGTGTGTGTGTGTGTGTACAAATATAATAATTGCATGGAAAGAGAACTTCTTTCCTTGTGGTTTCAATAATGGTTCAAGTTTTGTTGGAAACCTATGAAAAATCAACGAGCAGAAACTAGCAGCAAACTACAAACAGTTACACTGATGTTGAACAAAACTTGGACTTTTAGGTCATACCTAGTACTATAATATGATGAATGCTCTAATTGGTTCGCCTGCAAATGTGGCATCTGCATTTCTCTTTCTCCAGTTGTGGTTTTATTTAATCTACAGAAATACAATCCCAAACAGAATATAGAAACTCAGTAACAAAGAACAAGTAAAAAATAACCTAAAATTCAAAAAGCAAATAAATGGAAAGTTCACATGACCACACTAGAAGAAGAAGAAGAAGAAAACAAAAAAAAAAAAGAACAACAACAACAACAACAATTCCATTTCCAATAAATACCTTGCACCAAATTCAGCGGTTCCCGCCGAATGTGATTTCCAATTTGATAAACCTTCTTTCACAGCATCAAAACCCACTGATTCCCTTGAAGGGCATGTTCCATTATCAGATTGATCATTCTCAGTGAAAACTTCAGGAGCTCCCTGATGTTGATCTTCAGTCTCATTGCTTCTTCCATCACTTGGCACATCGAGAATGGGCGGCGCACTTGGAGTCCCTAAGTCTGCTGAATCTCTTAGCACACTTCTTTCATTACCAATTGCACCCTGCAATCATCACCAAACATAATCGCAATAGTAGCTTCATTACTCATAATTAAGCTCAACCTGAATTATGTAAAGAAATTCAAAGTCACAACTAAAAGCAACATGTAAAAATTACACTACATGACGTTAAAGTGTGGAATTGAAATACAGCAATCTTTTTCTTGGAATATCTTACATGGCGTGTAAAGTTACCTAGTAATTATCACAACGATTTTCAGGCTTTTAATGTTACAAACTTACATAATAATCACTACAATGATTATTTTATATGACTAACTCAATGTTTTTCTCATCCATTTCAATAAGAAATTTTGTCAAGATTACTCCAACATTTCCCAAATCACACTCCAAAATTACCTAGTAATTATCACAACGATTTTCAGGCTTTTAATGTTACAAACTTACATAATAATCACTACATTGATTATTTTATATGACTAACTCAATGTTTTTCTCATCCATTTCAATAAGAAATTTTGTCAAGATTACTCCAACATTTCCCAAATCACACTCCAAAATGGAAGTTTAACACAATCTAACAACAACTCTTACACGTAAATTCCGCAAGTGAATCCTCTTCTGAAGCTGATCTCCACCACCACAAGGGGTTGAACTTTTATGAACAGTACTAGCACTTTTCCTGAACCCCAATTCGCCATCCGTGAATCTCCTCGAATTATCAGGCACTTCAATCCTCAAACCCTCATTCAAAAACCCCCGATTCATCGACACCGATGACACGTTGCTTCTCTTCAAATTCGCGCCAGCTTTGCATCCAAACGGTTCATCACCATCATCGTAACACCGCCCAATCGGCTTCGAATCGTTGGACCCCAAAGCTTCTTCGTACGAATAAGTGCTGTCGGAAACAGAAGCAGTGCTCTCATAGTCTTCTTCTAATTCCTCATCATCGTCATCGTCTTTGAGGGACCGAGTCGCCAAGCTATGGGGCACAGCGAGCAAGCCAGAGTAGAATTTCAGCGGAGGCAGAGCATTGGAAGTTGTGAAGCTTCCGTTTGCGTTGAAGAGAAGAGGCGATTTCGGAGCTGTTCTCTCCGCGAGTGGCGATCTCACTCGCGGCTGCTGATTCTCAGCTTCTACTTCTGAACCCTAGAACAATTATTGCAGTAAAATACACCAATAAATAATATATACATATATATGTGTATATGATAATACAGGATTTTGTTTAGCAAAAGCTGAGACATGGAGAAGTACCTGTTTGATCCACTTTAAGGCGCTCTCGTCGAGACCTTCGGTGAACATTTTTTATGTTTTATTGCAGAAATGACTTTTCTTTCTCTAGAGAGAGAGAGAGAGAGAGAGAGAGAGAGCTTTGGATTTTCTGAAAATGAAGAAGAAGAAGAAGAAGAAGAAGAAGAAGAAGTGGAAGAGAGCGTAGGTGGGTCTGGGTTTTTTCCTTTGATTGTAAAGGCTAGTTTGACTCTTTTTTTTTTTTTTTTTTTTGGGTTCAAACCAAAAAGGGTACCTTTTTTATTACGGTATATTCTAAATAAGAAAAGGGATATTTTAATTTTATGACACGTGGAGTGGGGCCAATCGAACGGCTACCATTGGATGTATTAAATTCTGTAAGATCTAATAGTATTTATAAGGATTTAATGCAATTTTGCTTCGTTTTGTGTTTGTTTTGAATTAGTCTAATTATTTTCTTTATTTGGAACATCCCCTCCAGTTAACAACATAATTTTTTTTCCTTTTACAGGCTTATTTATCTCTGTTTTCTTCTTTGTAGATATGGGCAGTTTTTTTTTTTTTTTTTTTTGAGTAAAATGAATGTAGGTAGAGTTATTAATTGGGAAAAAACCATTAAATACTTGTAGTGAAAAATATGAGAACTTGTAAAGAAGATCTTTGTACTCATGTAACTTGCGACTTAAAAAAAAAGTCACATTGTACTTTCTTTTATTACCAATGAAAAAAGAAAATTAGGAAATCTGTCTCCTGAATTTGTACTTTTTAAGTTGATTAATAATAACAGAGATTATAATTTGTTTATTCTTTATGTTCTTTTAGATCATGTTTGGTAAACCGTATTGTATTGTATAAGGTATATTGTATTGTATTGTATTATCATAATACAATACGGTGTTTGGTGTCATGACGTATTGTATAAGAGGTCTAAATATAAAATTTTAATAATTTTAGGGTCAAAATATAAATTTTCAAAAGCTTTAAGGTCAAAATTAAATTTTATAAAAATTTAGGTGTTGAAGTGTAATTTTACAAAAGTTTTGGGTCAAAATGTAATTTTACAAAAATTTTAGGGTTAAAATGTGATTTTTTAAAAATAAAAAAATTTGCATTATGCCTCCTAAATTTTTCAACAATTATAGGCTCCGACATAACCATATATTAGTCCAACCTCGACCTTTAGTCTTACCCAACCCCGATATAAATTATTAATCCACTATAAAATATTACGACATAGACCGCATTCAATAATACGACATAGACCGCATTACTTTACCATCCATATTAATTTATATCATACGATAATTACACTAAACATAATATTATTATATTATTATATAATATAGTGCTCTAATATGCTCAAAAAAAGTTCCCCTTAATGAGGTAGCATTCCTTTTCTTTCAAAAAAAAAAAAAAAAAGCTGGCAACTTTAGCATCCAAAAGAGAAGACTTGTTTTACAAGTAATATATGGTATCATATAAAATATAAACTTGTATTTAGTGTGCAATAACAAATATAATGCATTGGCATTTAGAATTAGATGCTACTAGACGAAAAGATATATTATTAAATAAAGCACTATAATAGGTCAGATGCACTATCAAAATTAAGTAACCAAAATTCTCTTTTTAAAATAAAATTACATATTTGGTCTTGATCAGGAGGACTAAAAAATGAAAATCTTGTAGCTTATAGACTTTAACTTAAAGGCCCGTTTAGATTGGCCTCAAAAAAGTTAAGGAAATAATAAGAAATAGGCCAATATGAAAAGCTTAAGAAAGTATATAGGTCAACTTTTAGTTATAGAGATTAATAGGTCATAACTTGTTAAGTTATGGTTCATAACTAGATAAGTTATGGACAAACTTGTCAAGTTATGGTTCATAGCCAGACAAATTATGGACAAAAACCGGGAATAATTTGTCAAGTTATGGTTCATAACCAGACAAATTATAGACGAAAATAGTAATTTGGCCTATTTATTAACTTATGTAAACTATTGGCCTATTAATTTTAATTGATCTCAAATCTTGGCCTATTTCTCTCTTTCTCCCAAAAAGTTGTTTTTAACTTATTTAGTTTAAAGCCGTTTTTGATCTTATTTATAGACAATTTTAAAGTGTTTTTGACTTTTTTAAGTACTTTTGGAACAATTTATCTCCTTAGTGTTTATGAAAAGCTTTTTTATTTACATTTTTAACCTTTTATTTGTGAACTAAATATCTCATCTATATTCTTTTATTACATTACTTTTTATAAGAATAAGTGCTTTTGAATTTTTTACTCAAATAGGTTTAAAAACTCTTCTTATATATAAAAATACTTTTTCAGACACTATCCAAACTCTAATAAAAAAGCTTCAACTTGTACTTATCTTCTTCTACTACTTAAAAGCACAAGTACAAACACGCGCTCTCATTTCTTTTTACATGATTCTTTGGTTCCTTTTCAATTCCACGGACTAGGTTTTCTACTTTATTATTATTATTATTATTATTGTTGTTATTATTAATAATTTGGCTTACACTACTTTTCTTCCAGGGTAAAAATTTTGTTTTCATAATATTAAAATGTTACCTTTACATTTACATTATAAAAAAAAGGAGATAGAGAAAATTATTTTGATACCACTTTGATACCCTAAGTTCTTCATAATATTAAAAAGGTAGTTGACGTTTTCTAGAACATTAGTTTGATACCCGAGGCTCTTATTCAGGATATAGAGGGCGCGTTAAGAATTCGTTCTAAAATGATTTTATTTTTTGTATTAAAATAAAATGAAAATGTTTTTAATCTCAGACAGAAATTATTTTTAAAAATACATTTGGTAGTTTTATCAAGAGATTATTTTCAGTGTAAAAAAACTTATTAATATCTCTTTTTCTCTCTCTGTTCGAGAGAGGAGAAAATAAAAACAAAAAATGAAAAATGACTAAAAGTCATTTTTTATTTCTCTCTCATTTTACACTAAATTAAAAAATCATTTTCATTTCTGTTTTTATTTTTATTGTGTCAAACGCTGTTTTGAAAATGTTTTTATTTTTTCTTTCTTAAAAAATGTGAAAAATAAAAACGAGATCAATTTTAAACACGGTCAACATGTTCAAGCCCTTCCCGTTTGGTTCATGGAATAGAACCATGAGATTATAACTATTTTTGATTTATATGTGTTTTTTATGAGAGAAAATACTGTAATGAACTATGAACTATGATTCGAATAGAGAACGAATCATCCAACTAAACAAACAATTTAGTATCTATTTTGGTCAACTCTTCATCATCTTTCTTTAGCCAGCTGGTATTGTCTTTTTTTATTTTTTTTCCTTTTTCTTTTTGAGAGAGAGAGTGGTAATGCTCGTTTTTCCAATTATGAAGGATGGCTAAGCGTCGTACTCTCATAGGATAGGAGGCACGGGCACGATCTAGACTCCTATGAGAGGCAACAATGGGAAATTTTCTGCAATAAACGACAGCTTGAAGGAGCAATGCCACGTGGAGGTCTCGATATTTTGGGTATAAAGTTCAATTGTAAGGTCTGAGACAAATCTTTTTCACATTCTACCATGTGCAGCCGCTGCCACCACCACGCATCAACTGCTCCGCTTGTCATCGGTTGCGCAATTTCTCTTTGTTTGCAATTTGTTGTGCAAAAAGGTTTCTTCCCATTTAAAAAAAAAAAGAGAAAAAAAAAAGAAAAAGAAAACACACACACACATTAAGTTTTCTTTTTCAAATCATCAATAAAACTCTCCATCTCTTGTTGAAAAATATTTCTTTATTTTATTGGGGGACATTTCAGTGAATGTGTTAGGGTCCACTTTCATTCAGATTATTTCAGACTCTGGACTTGAGCCAAAAATTATCATTAAATTTTGCAAGGTTTGCAGCTATTAAAAAGAAGAAATGTTCGACTAATCCGTAAATCAAATTATTTTATAAAATTTTTCATTGAAAGAATATAAAGAAATATCTTTTTATTTATCAGTAATATTCCTAGAATAAATGCACAACTTTTTTTTTTATTTTTTTTGAATCATTAACCATATGCCGCTCATGCGGCACAAAAGCTTAAAAATCCTACGGCCCCAAAAAGATTCAAAAACATATATAACCTAAAATTGCTACAAGTCTTTTACACATTATGTCATAATAATGTAAACATCTTTTACACATTATGTCATAATAATGTAAACCTCTTCTACACATTATGTCATAATAATTTAAACCGTAATAAAGAACGCATGGCTAGTTGTCTTGCTTGGCCAGGGTCGGGTGGAGGCGGTAGAGGCAGTGAAGGCACAAGTAAGCCAGAGTGGGGTGGGGGCAGTGGAGGCGCAAGTAAGCCAGAGTGGGGTCGAGGCGGTGGAGGCGCAAAATAACATAAGCCACGGTGGGGTGGAGGCGGTGAAACCAAAAAAAAAAAAAAAAAAAAAAAAAAAAAAAAAAAACAACACACACACACACACACAAATAAGTTGAAGTTTCATGTAAATAAGCTCAAAGGTCATTGAGCCAAAAGTGTGAGTTATACTCACACCAAAGACACATACTACTCCATTGGAGATTATTAGCTGAAACAGGTAAAGAATTCTCAACAGAGGAAAACACGATTAAAGTAATCACTCATGCATACATGAAGTATCATTTTCAATAAATATTGAGGATAAAAACTCCAATTACAAACGTTAAACAAAAAGGAAAAAGAAACTATCGAGTAAGAGAACAATGTTAGGAAAAAGAAACTCCAATTACTATGCGGCTCACTTTTTATTAGTGAGTAATACTCAACACTATTAGTACCCTCCCTATAGCATTTTTCTTTTTCAATAGACAACTATACAAAATAAAACCAAAAAATAAATAAGTAAATAAACAAAAATTAACAACAACAATGCTCTATTAGTGGTGCACACTTATAGAAAATGGGTGCCATAGCATGGGGTGTGCAAATAGACACATTCGATAAATGTTAGGGTAAATCTTATATTAATAGTGCTTTTCACACCGGTAGTGTCCCAGCATTTTTCCTGCTATTCAATTAGTTGTAGTACCCCAAGCATTTTCCATTATTGGACAACTATACCGACGAATGCTAAAAAGTCAAG